GGGGGGGGGGGGGGAGGGGAGTGGGGGGGAGGCGGGGGGGGGGGGGAGGGGCAATGAGGTGAAGGGGAGGACTGTGGAGGTGGCAGGGGGAGGAAGCAGTGAGGGGAGTGGGTGGACTGTGGAGGTAACAGCAGAGGGTTGGGGGCAGGGGAGAACTGCTGGGGAGACAAATAAGCTATAAAGGGATGGAGCAAGTCATGGCCCCTATTAAAGAGGATCGTTTGTCTGACATGATTATAGCGTCAGAGGGTAGCCAAGTTAGTCTATAACTAGAAAAACTTTTAAAAAAATGAATAGTCCAGCAGCACCTTAAGGACTAACAAAGCACGTAGATGGTATCATGAGCTTTTGTGGGCACAGCCCTCTTCCACAGATGACTGGAGTATTAAAAGTTCAGATGATTATAGCAGCAAGTAAGTTTGTTAAGAGGGAGTGGAATTCTCCTCCCCCATTAGGGTGCTGTCAGTGGGTGAGGATCATGTGCTGGGTGTTGCCAGGTGCTGGCTGACACTTGCGGGGAAGGCAGGCTCTGTATTTAACAGCAATGAGCCTGAGTGCTGCACGGTTACAGGGTTGCTTACAACACCTGGGTGTAGCCGTAGTTAATGGGTCTTAGGCACTGTATGAAATGGGGCAGGGAAATGTCCTGTGAAACAATAAACTTTCAGTGCATCTGTGACTATGGAATCTTCACAACTGCTCTGCAATGACTTTGCTGCAGTATCAGCATTTATATATAACAACAATGACCGTACTGGGTCAGACCAAAGGTCCATCCAGCCCAGTATCCTGTCTCCTGCCAGTGGCCAATGCCAGGTGCCCCAGAGAGAATAAACCAAACAGGTAATCCTCAAGTGATCCATCTCCTTTTGCCTGTTCCTGGCTTCTGACAAACAGGCTAAGGACACCATTCCTACCAACCCTGACTATTAAGCATACTATTAATACTAGACGATTTATCTGGCGTTCCTTGGGTCTTTAACTCAAATAAGTGGTTTTTTTTCCTTCATGTAAATCATTGCTCTGGGGTGAGGAGTTCAGTATGTAGGTTACCCTGGGGAGGGAGGACTACCCCAGGCCTCTCTCACTGCAGCAGTTTGGGGCCAGGCAAGAAGTGTCTATGGCCAGTGCCGGGGTGCATGTCCCCCAGCTGGGAGACAGACACACAAACACGCCTGCCTGTCCTCATTCCCATCTCTGGCCCCTTGCTGACTCCAGTGATCATATACAGTATAAATGTTCCTGCTAACAGAACCCTCCCCTTCCGTATTATGAGACACAGTCACATTTCAGACACATCCTATTGTCCTGACACAGCTAGACCCTGGCCTTGGTTTAAGTTATAAGAGAGAGCAGTATACCAAATTGGTGGTTCTAGCGCTTACTATGTAGGAATTCTTGGACAAACAGACTCACTGACAGACCAACAAACTTTCTAAAATGTATAGTAGATATAAGACTCCTGAACATATGATGCATTGGTGCAAGTAAAATATACATATAGTCTGGTCTTGTGTACCTTCTCCTGCTCTATGCTGGATCAGACATCTGCACCAGTGACTAATACCTGAAGCTTCAAGGGAAGGCTAAAAATACACACCTGTAATACACCTGTGCGTTGCACTAAGGATTCCTACCTGAATCTGCAGTAATCAGTTGCTGCTCTGAGTATTAAGATTGATTGCTTCATCTTAGCAACTACTTAAATGTGAATTTTTTTTTGTGCTTGTAAGAAAAAAATGAGAAGACATGGATTGTTCCTCGCAACTGGTTTAGTAGCATCCGTCCCTCTCATAGAAGGCAGAATTGTTTGTAGAAGTGCTAGTGGTATTGGTTTCTGGCTGAGCCTATGCAGCCTGCTACCTTGGGAGGTAGGGGAAGGAAGCGCATGGTGTCCAGTGTGATGGGGTGAGGTCACAGTCGACCCCTTGGGGGTGACTCCTGGGATGCTGACATGGCCACTGCCACTCGCCTCCCTGCTCTCAAGGATTCCTTACCGCCCGGTCCTGCTGAGCCAGCTCTGCTGGTCTCCCCCAGCCAAGGCCCCGAGCTAAGGTCCCTGCTCCCACTGAGGAGTCCCCTTTTCAGGTACAAGGAAAGTGCAGTGTAGGGCCCAGCTTCCTGGGATACCACTCCACAGATGGGAGCAAACCTCAAAGAATTAGATAAGGGTAAGCCACCTCTAACAATGAAAGGGGGAATGTACATACTGGTTGCCCCCCCTCCCCTCCAGATCACAATTATTAACACTGAGTTTGATTAAAAAATAAAAATGATTTTATTAAGTACAAGCAGTAGGATATAAGTGGTTATAAGTGAGAAAAGACAGAGCAAAGTAGGTTACAAATAAAAAGAAACAAACGCTTAGCTAATTCTGCACTGAAACCTCAGCACAAAACTCTTTAAACTCACCCTAAAACCTCTTTTCCAGCTGCCCCTCCAAACCAGGGCTGTCTCCCCACCCTGATGTCTTCAGCTCCTTTCCTTTAGGTGCAGCCCAGCCAGAAAACCCAGAGCTCTGCTTTCCTATTCTTTTTGTTAAGGAGTTAGGCCCACTCCCTACCAACCCCTGCTCAGACTTAAGGACAGAAGAGATTGGTAAACAGTTGCTCATCAAGACTTTGAGGGTAACACCCTCCATGTCCCACATTCAGGGTACTTCTACATTGCAGAAATTTTCTGGGATACCTCTGGTATCCCAGAAAAACTCTGTCGCATCCAGGGAACGTGTTTGCTCTTTCACTTTTTTTTGTGGAAGTGCAGATGTGCTCTTTCAGAAGGAAGAAGGGATCTTCTGAAGGAGGGGGATTTTCCGAAATTTGGCCCAGTGTAGACTGGTCAAATTTTGGAAAAGCCTCTTCCGGAAAAAAAAATCGGAAAAAGCTGTAGTGTAGACCTAGTCTCACACATTTGAAACCCACAAAGTATTCCCAACTCCATATGTCTAATTTTACATACACAAATGATTCATACATCAAAGATAAGCAGAACCAGCGGATCATGACATGAAGATTGATAGGTTACATGAAATAATTCGTTCAAAACACCTTTAAGTTATGTATATTCATGTCCATAAGTCCATTTCATAAAGAATGGGGGGAGGGCGGTCTGTCACATCAAACATTTGGAATGCTGGAATACTGCCCTGGAATGGATATTCAGTCTCTGCCAGCAGAATCCTGGTGTCAGCTGCCATCTCATTACCTGTTATCTCTTTGGATATTTGATAGAACGTGGGCCAAGAGCAATGCCCTGGGAACAAAGTGTTCTCTAATCTTTTCCATCCATGCGTGGAATACATTTTTATGTGCACCAATGCATGTGTGAATGTGCACCACCAGTAGAAACAAAAAAACTTAGCTGTGCTAATCAGCTGAGCAGCATTTGAATCTCTCCTGAGCAACCACACACACACACAGCTTACACGGAACACCACCAGGGAGTCATAGGCCCTTTTTTCTAGCTCTAGGGCTACCTCACTGCTTGAATTCTGGCAAATCCCTTCAACTTTCAGTGCATTGATTTCCCCACCTGTAAAATGGGGATCATAACATAGACCCGCCTCAAAGTGGGCTGTGAAGCTAAATCAATGCATGTTTGTGGTGCTGAAGACCTCTTGTGATGTACATGCAGGTTTCCCTTGCATAATCCGGAACGACTCCACCAATGGCTCTCTCAGATGAAACAAGAGAAGTGGGTACCTACCAGATACCAGCATTTATGCAGCGAGCATTTTGCTCCATCATGTTTCGAGTACAGGTGGGGGGTTCGCTATCTAAAGCCTGATGCTGTCCCCACCATCTTTCAACTGTCTGAAAACCCCCTGGTAAGTTCTTGGTCATCAACTGATGTGGGGACTCAGTGGGGAATGCTTGGGAGAGGGTTTTACAAAATCACTGACTTGGGGAGGGAGCATGGCTGAGTAGTTAGTGTAGAGAACAGAGTTCTATTTCTAACTCTTGGAAGGAATTATCCCCACTTTTGTATTTGGGAAAACTGCAGCATAGAACTATGAAGGGACTCAAAGAGCTTTTGAGTTATATTCCCCAGAAAGCGGGGTCCAATGGTTAGAGCATGCGGGGCTGGGTTTTATTCCCAACTTTGTTACTGACTGTGTGACCTTGGATAAGTCTCTTCCCCTCTGTAGCCTAGTCGTCCCAACATAAAACAGGAAGGCTGTGTCTAGACTGGCAAGTTTTTCCGCAAAATCATCTGCTTTTGCGGAAAAACTTGCCAGCTGTCTACACTGGCCGCTTGAATTTCCGGAAAAGCACTGACGATCTCATGTAAGATCATCAGTGCTTTTCTGGAAATACTATGCTGCTCCCGTTCGGGCAAAAGTCTTTTTCTGAAAGACTTTTGCGCAAAATGGCCAGTGTAGACAGCACAGTACTGTTTTCCGCAAAAAAGCCCCGATCGCGAAAATGGCGATCGGGGCTTTTTTGCGGAGGCCACGGACACTTTTCTGCAAAAAGTGCTTTTGCAGAAAAGCGTCCTGCCAATCTAGACGTGCTTTTCCGAAAATGCTTTTAACGGAAAACTTTTGTAAAACCCTCTCCCAAAACTTTTCCGTTAAAAGCATTTTCAGAAAATTATGCCAGTGTAGACGTAGCCGAAGAATGATACTGTTCCGTGGTTACATAATTAGATGCGTTTTAACATCCCTAGTGTAAATCTGGCAAGATAATTAGAAACCAGCCTAGTCACTGCCAGGCGTGCCCACTTGTTTATCAGGCTACTCACAGTCTTTCATGCCCTTAGCTCCCAGCGCAAAGAGTTCGAGTATAAACATCTGTCATGTGACTCTTAACAAGGATAATAGCAATGGAAGTAAATAATTGCCTAACTGGAACTAGGAAGGGGAAGGGAGGAGTGTATGAATGTGTCTGACTGTGCATGCCTGTGCAAGATGCTGGATTGACGACTCAGGACCCCAGAGGCAGGCTTTTGACAGCAGTTTAAGTACAGGCAGTTCCTGCAAAGCCCTGGGAATGGGAGATAGTAATGCAGTTGCGTATCTGGCCAGTAGGAAAACCTAAAGCCACTTGGCACTGTTCTAAGGTGTAAAGGAGCCTCAAAGTGAGCAGAAACAGCTGCTTAAGCCTCCCTCTTGTCAGAGGTCTCCCCAGCTGACATAGAGCAGGTGTAAGGTCCCCGAGTGCAACAACAGGCATGGGGGTAGATCAGGGCAGGGCCAGCGCACACAACACTGTGACTGTTCTCTGGTCTCATAGGCCAGGAGTGGGCAGTAATTTTTGCATGAATTTTGGTACATGGTCACTGGCTGGCTCCAGGTCTCCCGGAAGGGGTGTGGTCTCGGATAGAAGGTGTGGGGCTACAGAGAGAGCGTGTGACTCTGAAAGAGAGACACAGTGCGAGACAGACTTTGTGACACAGATTGTGTGTGTGTGGTGCAGAGATATAGGTGAGTGTGTGTGGTACAGAGATTGTGTGGCACAGGCTGGGTGTGTATGACAGTGACACCAGGTGTGTGCTGGCTGCTGCTGGGTAGGTTTCTGAGAGAACCCGCATGCTGTCTCTTTTAGATGTCCTGCTTTGTTGTCTCCCCCCTCCTCCCTTTGCAGAGATGAGGTATGGAGGGGAAGTGTGTGTATGAAATCTTAGAAACAGTGCACTCCTTCTTAAGACAGACTCCTGGGAGCAGCTCTGCTGCAGGATGGAGCAAGGTGGGGGGAGGGGCAGCTGAACACAGGCTGCTGGCTATAAGTATGCATACGCTGCTAATCAGCTGGATGGGCTGGAGAGAAATTCTTGGTGGGCTGGATCCAGCTCCCGGGCCTGATTTTGCCCATGTCTGTCATAGGCCCTGTAGGGGGTAGATGGGGTTGTGGCCAGAGTGCACTGTTTTGTGTCGTTTCTGCTCCCCAAGGCCCATAGGAGAAAGAGCATAACAGGTCACCCCAATGCTGCTGTAATGGACGCTAGAAGCTAGGTGGGGCTCTCCCACAGCATAGGGGAATGCAAAGGGAGCTTCTAGCCACCTCTTCCTCCTGCCCTAACCAGGGCAGGTAATGGGGCTTCCTCACCATTGCATTGTTCTTCAGAAGCAAACATGTTGTTTCTTTGGTGGCTTGCAGAAACGGGAGAATCCTGCCCGGCCTTCATGTGAAACACAGGCCAAGAAGCTAATTGTTGAGAGCAGCACGGACAGGACTTTGCAGGGGCCACAGGCCATGGCTACCCACCCCACTCATGACACACTGGAAGCTCTCGCCATAGCTATCGACCCGGGTCTGTCCTCTGCCCCGATCTACGTGGAAGCTCAGCCCTCTGTCTCGGATCTGGACCTCCAAGCCCTCTCCTCCCCACTGGTTGGGGCAGTGAACCTGATGCCTCTTGTTCAGATCGTGGAGCCACTCAACGCTGTGGCACTGGCTGTGGCCACCCCCTCGGAGGGTGTAGAGTCCATTCCTGTCCATCTCCCGGGCCAGCCGTTCTCTTCCACCGTGGAGCAGCATGTGGATTTCTCTGTCGAGGCCGCTCCAGACTCTTTTGTGGCAGATGTGCCTGAGCACTTTGCCACAGAGATCATGGTCTCTTGTGAGGACGCTGCTGTGGTGGCCCAGCCTGAAGGCACCTTTGCTGCTGAGCAGTCGCATACGCTGATGGCCACGGTGGACCAAAAGGAGATCTCCAGCCAGGGCACCCTCTTCGTTGAGAATGTGTCCATCCAGCCCCTCCTGGAAACCGATCCCTCCACCGCAGCTGTCCTCAGCTCCCTGCAGGTGTCGACCACCCAAATGGTGGCGTATTTTGAGACCATCCCCACAGCACCGGTGGTGTCCTCCTGTGCCATGGGGCCACTGACCTCCAGTGCCTCGCCTCCCGAAACGGTTTTGTCCTCAGCCCTGACAGTGCCCATCGTTTCCACAGTGCCCATTGTGTCGAACTACGCCACAGGCTCTTTGGATGATGATTCTTCGTCTTCCACCATCGAGGTGGAGCTCTGTGCCGAAGCCCTGGAGGAGCAACTTGAGGAGCACCGCTACCACAAGAACGAGCTGACCACCGAGCAGCTGGTCGACCTGGTAATGGGCCTGCAGAAGAAGGTCAAGGTGCTGCAGCAGAGGCACCGGCGTCACTGCACTAAACTGGAAGCCATGGAGGGTGTCGTAGAGCAGCTGAGGAAGGAGAGCCTCGTGTCGGAGGAGAAACTCAAGCTGTTGGAGATGGTAGGTTGGGCACCTCTAAGGAGAGTAGGGAGAGGGCTTGACTCCCTGCTTGCCTGTCTACGGGTATGTTGATGCTTGCCAGGTATCTCATCACCCTTAGCATGAGGCAGTATTGTCTGTCCCTGCTGTAGGTAAGCTTTCTGAAACTACCAGCCCCTAGGAGCACATTCTCTGCCTTCCAGGTCTCCGCATGCTCTGCTGTCTCTGCACAGGTTAGTGATAGACATGCACAATAACGCCCAGGTCCGTAGCATGTACCCAGCTCTGTTTTCTGAACACTTGACAGCTCTTAGATCCACTATTCCCATAAAGCAGCTTGTAAGACTCAATTCATGATCACCACTTTACTTCTCTCTCTCCCATCCACCACCTAGGCATCTATATTGATGATAAACTTAGTCTTGTTTTCACTATGTTCAGAAATTCCAGTGATAGTGGATACAAATGTTGGAAACAAATAGTCGCAGAATCATAACACACTTTCTAGAGATTAAATTTAACTAGCACATGGCATTCCCACAAAACCCACCAATGAACCCCCTTGGTAGACATCTTTGCACTGAGGGATAGCCAACGAAGACAAGATAGCCTACCCCAAGTCCTTTCCTCAGTGTTTTCAACCAGTATGGTTGAGATCCCTTCTCGTAAGATGAAGCCCCTGTCAGCTTGTTCTTACAGAATGAAGGAATAAGGGGGATGTGTGTCTATAAGCGCCCTTTAGAAATAGTCCTCCAAACCCTTGTTTTAGTTTGCCAACTGGATAAACCCCCTATGGCTTATTTTTTCAGTGTGTTGCTTTCCTGTTGATTTCATTTCTCTCCATTGGTATTCGTCTCAGTATGTGAATGGCCTTCATTGTGAAGCTTACAATGCTTCATTTGCATGTAGCCAAATCAGAGAGAGAAATGTTTCTTAGCTCCTTTATGGTGGATCTAAGGCAAGTCACCTTATGTTGCTTTACAAACATAATTTTTGTACAGAAATGTAACTCCTTAAGGGTACCCTATATGTGCATCTCATAATGATCAAAGGGACCAGTATGAAACCAGCTTCCAGTAGAAACCTTATATGGACCTTTGATGAACTAGAATGTAATACAGACCCAGGAACCTTTGTGCCCTCTGCCAATTGGCAGCAGGAGATCCCTGGGTCTCATTCGTGTATGCATCCATGGGTGTGAATGCAGTATGTGTAAGATGTATCTGTGCCTGTTGCATTCAGGGAGGCTTGTAGGCTAGCTGGAGTACAGCTACAAGACGTGTGGCTGCAGTGCAGACATACCCACAGGTGCTGTCATGGTAGTATCCTTGCACCACACAATCTTTCATGTCCTTTGAGACAGCGCAGGGCACTTATCCCCCGTGTACAGGTGGGGGACTGAGGCATGGAGAGGCTAAGTGACTTGCCTGAGGTCATAGAGGATGCCTGTGGCTGTCTCCCCCAAGCCCTAAGCTAGTGCTTTAAACCACTGGACCACCCTTCTAAGTAGCTGTATCCTGTACAGTGATTTAGGAGTCTGCACTGCCTCTCACAGCTATGGGCCTTTAGCTCAAGCAGAAGCAACTTATATAGTTAGAGCTAGGGGTCTCATGTTCAATCCCCACAAACAGCCTGAGCAGGATGTCATTATAGGCTCTGAATGCCCCATGTGTGGGAATGCACAACGAGGAATTTTTTCTTGCTTTAGGAACAGATTGTATGGCCTCTTGTTCCCTGTACTGTATGCAGAGATAGATTCACTCTTCTTAGTTGAACAGCTCCACGGAAGATGGGGCTAAGTGTGTTTTTGTGGGGACTAGGTGTTGCTGTTCCAAATGGTGGTGTTGCTGCTTGGCAGGGGTGGCAGCAATTTTTGGTGGAGGGGATCACTCCAAAATTTTGGAAAGTGGTCAAGGGCAGCACTTTTCTGTGGAGGAGGTGCGGGGTCTGGGATGGAGGTTGGGTGCAGAAGGGCACAAGGGTAAGGGAGTGGGGTGCAGGAGATGTTGTGAGGTCTGAGAGGGAGTTTGGGTGAAGTAGGGGGTTGTGACCTGGGTCAGGGGATTGGGGTGTAGGGTAAGGGAGGGAGTATGGGAGCAGGGGAGGTGTCTGGTTTTGGGGAGGAGTTCTAGGAGGAGGTGCAAAGTCTGGGGGGAAGAGGAAAAGAGGGTGCAGACCGCAGAGGGTTTGGGTGGTGACCTGGGGCAGAGGAATGGGGTGCAGGGTCTGGGAGGCTGTTTGGGTGCGCTAGAGAATTCTGACCTGGGGGAGGGGTGTAGAAGGGGTTACAGGATCTGGGAGGGAGTTATGACCTGGGGTGGCGGGGTGCAAAGAGTTTGGATGGTGACCTGAGTGAGGGAGTTGGGGTGCAGGAGGCAGTGGGGTGCCGGAGGCAGTCTCTGGGTGGGATGCGCTTAGCTATGCAGCTCCCAGCCCTGCAGCGCCCCAAAGCAGGTTGGACTCCTCCCTGATGCAGCCCCAGATCACTTTAAATTGCAGGCTGCTCTCTCCCCGCGGCTCTCAGCTCCCGGTGGGGGAAGAGGCTTGTGCTGCTGCAACCCCCCAGGCCAAACTCAGTTCCTGTTGGCTGGTTGTTTCCAGCCACTAGGAGCTGAGGATTGGGTTGGGGTCAGGGAGATCACATGAAATCCGCCCCTCCCTGCAGAATAGAGAGCCCACAGACTTGGCTTTAAACCATGGCAGATATGTGTCTGAGGGTCCCTGCAGAGTGGTCCGCGGGCCAGATCCGGTAGCTTGGGGGGCCAGATCCAGTGTCTGGACAGTATTTTTCCCAGGCCTGTGCTATGGGATTCAAGGCTACAACAGCCATTTGAATGTTGTTCCCATGTGGCTGCCCTGTATGAGAAGCAGGGGGAGAGAGCTTTTGCTGCAAGCAGGGGTTTGCATGCCAAGTCGAACCACTGACTCCTATGTCTCATTGACCTACAACCCCTTGGTTGCAGGTCAGTGAGACATAGGCAGCAAGGCGGGGGTTAGTCGATAGGATTAACTGAGAAGCCCAGGCTTATTGGTTAATCATGTAGTCAACTACATGTTGGCATTCTCAGTTACTAACTGGCCAGTCAGGCACACACCTTATTTGAAACTGGAAATACACAATCAGACAGCAGCAGAGACAAAAGGAAAAACTCGCATACAGTATAGTGCTGTGTTAAAGGTAAGCTACTAAAAAAAAAGGGAAACCATTATTTTTCTTCATAGGAAAACACTGTATTAAGTCAGTGTTCATTTGTGAACTTTTGAAAGAACAACCATAAAGTTTTGTTCGCTCCCTTTATCAGTGAAAGAGAGAGATGCACAATTGTTGTCTCGTCATTCCCCCTCCCCCCGGTAACAATGATTTACACTGGGCTTAATAATGAACAAACGTGATTTTATTAAATACAAAAAGTAGGATTTATGTTGTTGCAAGTGATAACAGACAGATCGAAGTAAATTACTATAAAGCTAAGTAAAACAAAAAATGTCAGCTAAGCTTAATACGCCAAGAAACTTAGAGGAAAATTACCTCATCCAAAATGGGTTCCAGCACCAGGTTACCTGTCCACATGTTTTGGCAGGACCAGTCATAATCCAGGTTTACAGGAAAAGCAAGACTATTCAAAGATCATTGTCCCAAGTTCTGGGCCTTTTAAGTTCCTTGAGTTACTAATTGCCTTCATTAGCACATCTGGATATATAAGCAGACTTAGACTTCATATTTCTAACTTCTAATACAGGAAAGATATGCGCACACAAATATAATGTACATATTCAGCAGATTGCAAGCTTTTCAATGATAGGTTACATGCCACATTATGCATATAGCATATTTGAGTCCGGCATGTTCATATTGAAAAGCAAATTTTTACAAAGAATATGGGGGTGCAATGTCACAGCAATTGATGGATCAATCTTCCATGAACTTATCTAATTCTTTTTTGAACCATGTCGTAGGCTTGGCCTTCACAACATCCCCTGGCAAAGAGTTCCACAGGTTAACTGATTGCTGGAAGAATTCTTCTGTCAACCTAGCACTGTCCACACCAGAGTTTTACTTAACTACATCGCTTGGTGTGGCTCTTTCATGCTCCTGAACTTTCTAGCATAGAGCTGGCCTGTGCTATGGGACCTTTCCAGCCTCAGTTGTGGATGAATGGAAGTCGTAGCCCTTCACAGCTTTCAGTCTGGCACTGAATTGGTGTAGAAGGGTAAGCAGAATCCTTCATTGATTACTGTGGCAGGGAAATGTCACAATAAAAAATGTCTGGACTCAACCATTCAGTATCTTGTAATGGGGGTATAGTTGGGTCAGAACTTTGTGTGGGGGAGAAGGTCTCAAAGCTTGTGACTCACTGGCCTTGAGTTCATTCCCCTTTGGAAGCAAACAAACTTTCCTGTTGGTGCTGCTGCAGCTCTGGCAGTACTACCCCTGCTGCACACTCAGGTTGAGTCCCACCATCCTGGGCTCTGTCTGCTTGGGGGCTCCGACCCTTTCTTATCTTTCTGCCTGGGCCCAAGGAACATGCCGCAGAAGCAAACGACACTCCATGGTCCACCTGCCTTAGGCCCCTGAAGACCAGTGCTGGCCCCAGTTACTCAAGTCCACCCTCTTCCAGAGCATCACCCTCTCTGCTGTTTGACTCCTCAGGGGCACGAGACCGTTGATGTGCACAACACCGAGACTTTAACAAAAGGGATCTAAAACAATCACTCTGTGCTTTAGGCTGCACAAAAGACACACAGATCCAGATAAAACATAAATACCTGCACGCATTCCCTGCATCAGTTTCCTCACCCCTCTGAAAGATTCTTTGAGCTTCGATTGGAGTAAAAAAGTATGAGGAGCCTTTTATTGACTTTTTGGGCTGAGAAATGACACACAATTTAAACCTTTAAGCCAGGCACTTGTGCGGCTGCTCAGGAGATTCATATGCCACCCAGCTCGTTAGCAGAGTGCCCACAGCTAGGTTTCCTTTCCGTTGTTGGTGCACATTCACACATGCACATAATTTATTCTGCACATGGATGGAAAAAATTAGTTAGAACATTGTACAGAACCATCCTCTTATAGTGCGTGGCTTTTCCTCTGAGCTATAGTCTCTTTTTCCTCTCCAGAGAGCTCCCCTACCCTGACCAGTGCTGCACTCAGAAAAGCTGTCCCCTGCCATGAAAGTATGTTTCTTTTTTCCCCTCTCTATGGTCTCTGAGTTCATAAGGCTTAGCAGTAACATGAAGTTTGTTTCTCCCCTGCTGAGGAGTTCCAGTGCTCCAAACCAAAGGCCTCTTTGGAGGTGCTATAGAAAGCCAGTCCTGAGGTGCTCCCATTTAAATGAAACATTCAGGTCAATGACTGTCCTTGGTCTGGAAGAGAGGCAGTTAGCCCAGTGATACAGCAATATCATTAGATCAGCCAATACTTAGATTCCTCACTGTTACAGAATTCCATTCTTGCAAACAACACAAGCTAGACAAGTGGCTCAGGTGCCAGCACGGGGTACAGGAGACCCAAGTTCAGTTCTCTGCACTGCTACAGACCCCCTGTATGACCTAGCACAAGTCTCTTCCCTCTTTGGATATTGATTCCCTGTGTGCATGATGGGGATAATAGTAAATCTGAGAACTTTCTGCATCTCCCCTGCCCCTTGTTCAGCTGTGAATTCTCCACGCGGTGGAGCTGGGTTGTTCAGAACCCCGTCTGCAATCCTAAGGAGAAAGGTCTTCCCATTGACCTATGCCATAACCTTCTATGCCCAGCTGTCTTTTGTGGGAGTGGTTTGCATCAGACCTGAAATGCTGAATCAGCAGTGGTTCTTGATTAGCATGCCCGTTCTGAGGTGTGTTCGGTCATGATCCTCTCCCGTCACTGGGCTGGAATGCAAAAAGATTCACACAAAGCTCTTGTATTAGGAGGATTTTAATGGTGAACCTTGAAGTTTCCCTTTACGCATAAACGTCTTGAGGTGGGATTTTTTTTTTTTTTTAATTAAGAATTTTAGCATGATAGCTGAGTTTTCTTTTTGCAGGGAAGGGGCTCGGGGGTGCGGGTAAGGGGAGGGAGGGCTTCCCTTCCCTCCCACTCCTGCAAGGGATCCCCCCCTTTCCTCTGGTCCTACATGTCTCCTTAACTATAAAGGAGGCATTGCTTGCAGTGTATGGCTCCAGACTGCCAGACACTGTTCCCTGCTGCAGCCAGCCTATTCAGGGAACCCCGGGGAAGGAGGAGGAGAGAAGATGCTGGCCTGCTGTGGCCTCCCCTTCCTCCCAAAAGGTGTCCCATGAAAGAAGGCTTGGGGGCTACCCTTCCCTCCTGCTCTGGGAACAGATTTCCCTCCACCCACCTCTGGTCCTGCATGCCTCCTTACCAGCGAAAGGAGTTTTGCTGGCAGCCTGTAGAGACTGGGAAGCAGCTCCATCCTCTTTTTCACTGCCGCCTCCTGAAATGCCGCAGGCCTCCAGCACCTGGAGTTCCCTCCCGCCAGGTCTCCTGCGCACGCCTCTCCCATGTGCAGGAGAGGAACCGGAAGTATGCAGCAATGCGGCTCCCAGGACCCCCCCCCACAGCGTTTCACGGCTGTGGGGACCTGCCGCCCTCCCCCCCTCAAGGGCCAGATGAAATTGTTTGGCATCTGGATCTGGCCTGGGGGCCGGAGGTTCCCCATCTCTGAACTAGATAAATACATGTGGAGGGAATGTATCCTCTTGTCCTTCAGGTTGCAGATTGAAATCAAATCTCTTCACACCGCTGTACACAAGCATCTCTACCACATGTTTCATTGAATGCAGTACAAAGTAGGCATCTTCTTTGCTCATAAATCTGTTCTTCCAGAGCAGTCTGTCCCCCAGAACTCCCATTCGTCTGCTATCAGGGTCACACCCATAGCTCCTTCCCCAGGTGCTCTTGCCTAGCCGCTGTTAGCAGCCAGGGCTGTTTCTCAGTTTGTGGCCTAACTCTTGATGTGACATGCAACCTGTTTCCTTGGACAGTCATCCAGCCATGTCTGCAGCTGCCTTCGCTACATCAAGGAGCTTTTTTTAGCCTAAAAGGGAGTGCTTGGCCAGATCCCTTGGCTAAAATGATGTCTGTGTGTTTGTTTGGATCCAAGATTTGTTTGCTGGTAGCCTTTAGTCCTTTCAGCATAACAGTATTTTTACTGAAAAAAACAACAAATGGTCTGGTATCACTTTATAGACTAACAAAACACATAGATGGTATCATGAGCTTTCGTGGGCAGAGCCCACTTCTTCAGATGACTGGAGTTAGCTCTGGTCATCTGAAGAAGTGGGCTCTGCCCACAAAAGCTCATGATACCATCTACGTGTTTTGTTAGTCTATAAAGTGATACCAGACCATTTGTTGTTTTTTTCAGTAACAGACTAACTCGGCTACCCCCTGAAGTATTTTTACCCTCGCTCTCTTTCCTGTAGCATTCTGGAGTAGAGGGTATGGGAGAGGTAGGTGAAGCAGAATTATATTGCATTAAGCATGATCTGTTACCCTGGCCAGGCTAAGATCATAGCATCATGGAAGATTAGGGTAGGAAGAAGGGATGTGACAGTTTTAACCGGTAAGCATGCCGTTAATGGGTGATGCTGAGTGGTTTCAGTTAACCAGTGGGGGCTGGAGCAGCTCCCTGCCCACCAAGCATTTGGAGCAGCCCCTGTCTGTGGCAAGCCCAGCATGTCCCTGGCAGAAGTAGCCTCTGTCTGCCACTGCGGCAGGGAAGGGTGACCCACTTAATTGGTTAACTGGTTAAACGTGAAGTAAACTTCACATTTAACCGGTTAACCAATTATACAGGAAGAGTAGGAAGAGACCTCAGTAGGTCATCCAGTCCAACAGTGCTCAAAGCAGGACCAACCCCAACTAATTCCTAACAAGATAATGCAGTTGTCCCCTCTAGCCTGAAAAAAGAAATCGGCTGATCTGTGGACGTGATGGTTCTGCCCTTGGAGAAACTGACCCGATTGGCTTCCCTTATTGCCACTCTTAATCCATGATAGTTACAGCATTGAAATCCAGACCCTACCTTATTCCCATGTTGATGAATGGCTTGAGGCCTTGAATAGAGGAGTGGCAGTGTCTTGCTTCTAGGCCAGAGGTTTAAATGGAGGTTTCAGACCTATGCCTGCGGTTCCCCTCACAAAGAGGCCTTTTCCTCACAGCCTGGGCAAGAGAGGCCAAGGAATGTACAGGTCACTGAGACTGAACTCCTGTGTCACTTCCCTTCTCTGTGATCTGCAGGATCCACTCTAGGTCTGAGAGGGGAGAGTTCAGCCTGCAGGGTCCTATGGTCTTTGGCTTCTCTGCTGAGGCTGTCAACGAGGGGTCTAAGCACACCTCTGGTTTCTGCACCGTTGTTTGCTAGCCACTGGAGTAAGACCCACTAAGCTTGTTTTGTCCAGGGGCCATTAGACTGTCAGATGGGAATGACTCGTTCATTGTTACCCGGGGCTGGATCTAATAAGCAATCTGCAGCTAGCGGCACAGAGTCTAATGCAGGGGAGGGTAATAATTTTTGCAGAGGCAGCACTCCATTAATTTTGATAAGTCAGGAGCCAGTTCTGGGCCCCTAGAAGGAGTGGAGAAGAGATTGAGAGAGAGAAAGAATGAAAGAGAAAGAGGTGTGTGTGTGTGTGTGTGTGTGTGTGTGTGTGTGAGAGAGAGAGAGAGAGACTTTGTGACACAGATGGCATATACCATGTTAGTGAATTGCAGGTTTATGAGCCCTTTATGTTGTGGCTTATTGCCATCAAGTGCCAGCAATGTCCCTCTGCCATGTACATTGGCCAGACTGGACAGTCTCTGCACCAAAGGATAAATGGACACAAATCAGGCATCACACATGTAACACACACACCTGTACGGGAACATTTTAACCTCCCTAGACATTTAGGATTTAAAAGCAGCTATTCTAGAAAGAATTTTATCACCCAATTACAGAGGGAGACAGCCGAACTGGAGTTCATTTACAAGTTCACCACAATCAACTTGGGCTTGATTAAAGATCTTAGCTGGTTAACGAACTAAAAAGGCAATTTCCCTCTCTTTGATATTTGCATTTCCCCATCACATGCTACAAATGAGACCCATCCAGCCTGAGTTAATTAGTTTCATTATCACTGGTCCTACAATTGAGAGGTAATTTCTTTTGCTGTTATATGTACCCTGGATTCTGTAATTTCCACTCCAACTCCTCTGATGAAGCGGGTTTTACCCACGAAAGCGCATGACCTAATAAATGAGTGAGTCTCTAAAGTGCCACAGGACTGCTCATTGTTTTTAACATTACCGATTCACACTGCTGCCCCTCTGAGACTTTTTCATGTGTTATATGAAACGAATAGGAGGGACCGAGGGGCACCAGTGCCCAAGACCACAGCAGTGGCAGGGAAATGGTTAAGTGAGAGAGACCAAGATCTTCTTGACAAGTGATCTGCCTCTAATGCTGCAAAGGAAGGCAAAAAACTCTAATGCTGCCAGTCTGACCTGGGGAAGATTCCTTCTCATCTTTACATTTGGTGACCAGTTCCACCCTGAGCAGCAAGAACCAGCTAGCCAAGCACAAGACAATGTGTCTACACTGCAGTACAAAACCCCATAGCACTAAGTCTTGGCACCCAGGTCTATTGACGTGAGCTGCAGGGCTAAATTTGCAGTGTAGGTGCTCGACAGGAGCCCAGGCTCTGAGACCCACTGCCTTGCAGGGTTTGAGTCTGGGTTCCAGTCCAAGCCTGACCGTTTATGCTGCAATTTTGAGGCTCCCCTTCCGAGTCAGCCAATACCCAGCCATGGCCATGCTGTGGATCTTTCATTGCAACGTAAAATACACAGAAATGCCACCTCTGAGCCCCGGTCCAGCCTGTCACGTAAGCAGTACTGCAGGAAAACATCCGCCGGCAAAACCTTTACCTTCCCTCTTGCTCTCCCCCAGGCTTGCCTGCAGTCCAGCACCGTGATGCCAGAAAGTGGCAGCACAGTTGCCATCATCTGCCAGGAGGAAGACCGGGCTCTAGTGTATGCTGTTCCCCAGCTCCCGGAGGAAGGGAATGAGAGAATCATCCACGTGGAAGAGCAGTAACCAGAGACCCACGCGCTAGAGCCCTCCATGCTCTGCTGCAGAGCTGCACATTCAGGGATCGCTCAGGTTGCTCTCCCCTTCCACAGGAGTGACAATTCCAGTGGTGTTGGCAATGGCGCGACATCTGTGCATTCAATGGCCTTAATGCTGTAGCACCTTATTTCGGTGGGGATGGAGAGGTGGGTGTTTCAAGTTGGAATGATTGATTGTAAAGGGTCTTTTCTTGGGGGAGCAAGTTGCAGGCTATGGTCATGCATCCAATGCCCCGAGCATCAGCACCAGGGTAATAACCACTGATTAAAAGCTGATCTTGCCTTAGTTACTCATGTACTCACTCTGCCTGCGTATAAGCTGGTTGCTTTGGTGAGAGAGACAATGAAAATAAACGGGGTGTGTGTATAAGCCAAGCCAACTTTCCCTTTCTTAAGCTGCTGAAAACCACCTCTCAGATCTCTGCTTTGCTGCTGCCCTGTGTCTGCTGCCTTCTTGGCTCTGTTGGAGCAGTTAACCTAACCGACCCCCTGGGTCATCCTTTTAATAAGCCGCTCCCTCACATTGCTGCTGTGGCATCTTAACACATTTCTCAGCCCATGCCTAAGTGTCTGTGCAAACAGGAAATGGAGTGAGCAGACTGAACTAGCAATGCTGGGCTAGAAATATTGAGGATACCTCTGTGTGGTATCTGGACTGCTGAGGTCCTGGTGGGATGTGGGGGAGCTGTATCAATTAACACAGACCAGCTGTGTTGTCATCCAAACTGCTGTAGTTACAAAATTCTCTGCCCATGTCCTGGGCTTTGTGCAGCTTGCCATGATATTTAAATGGCTTGTTCTAGGCAGTATTGGCAATCCCAAGCTCACCCTCTGGCAGACGGGAAGCAGAGAGGGTCCAAACTGTGGGGAGTTATGAAAGGAGCATCAATCCCTTCCCCGCCCAGAATCAGGCAACCTCTGGGTGGCTGTGGGATCAGTACAGGGCTGGGGGCTCAGCTTCCTCCAGCTGGAAGAAGTTTTTCACTTCCTAGTCAGGTCACATGGTGGCTACCCAGCTGCGCCTGGGACGGGGCAGCCCCCAGCCATTCCTCTGGGAGCAGCTGGGGCACAGCAGCATGGCTCTGCTGAGGAAGTGAGCGGGACTGACATTTTTAGTGCCCGCCCACACAGGTAGAGGGAGCCCTGCCCAGGACCCCTTGTTCTTGCAGATACGTGGCGATCCCTGAGACTTGCAGTGAGAGACAGACCCATCGAACCCTTCCCCACACTCAACAGAACCGCCAGGATGATTTCAATGTTTATTTCTCCTCTGCTGGCCCCCCACAGCTGTCAGCCGGGTTCTTCCCCTTTTCTCCCTGGCTGGGCGCACTCGATGGCAGCAGCTCAGTGAAGGGTCTGGTTTTGTTCTTCCCTCCATTTAGCAGCGGGATGGGAATCAATGGTTGCTCCAGCATCAGGGCACTTTCTCTGCCCAGTCACTAAACCCGCAGGCAGGTCACCCCCTTCAGTCCTTGCTTCCGGGCACGACTTGTCTCACGCTGAAAGTCCAACGAGGCCTTTGCATGGGCAGACGTCCTGCTGCTCTGGGTAGGACTTTTGCTCAGACTGTGGCCTCTTCTTGGGCTGGGGACCTTCTCAAGTTCACCTCTAGGCTTCCCTGGCTGCTCTCAACTTCCCACCTCAGTAAAGGCTCCAGTCCTAATGCTCCTGGAGGCAGGGTCTTTCTCCCCTGGGCTCTAGAGGAGCTGGGGACATGCAGGATGCACCGGCTGGAATTGGAGTTGGCTGGTGAGAGTGGTGCTGGCATTCAGGGCAGTCCCCATCCCAGGCTGAGCGGCACAGTGGGGCTGAAGAAACCCCCCAGCTGATGGAGGGGGCGGGAGAGTCAGGTCTCCAGGAGCTGGAGGGTTGGTTTGTTGGGCTGCAGAGGGCAGATGCCAAGGGAGTGATGATCTTCAGCCTGAGAGGCTGGAGCCTCCTGCCAGAAACGCTCCAGGCTGGAGGCCTCTTCCTAGGGAAATACGCGGGCGGTGGGTGGGGGGAGCACTGAGGAGATCTCAGGGGCAGGGGCAGCTCTCGGCCAGGCTATGAATCAGGGATCCCATTTCTCCCCCACATGTTGGCCCATTCCAAAGGGACTGGAGTAACCCTCCCTGAGGCCCAGGTGCATGGCCCAGGGTCTCCCCGCTCCTTCTCCACCCCTTCCCCAAGCTCTGCCCCTTGTCCACCTCATCTCCACTCCCTCCCCCCTCCCCCAAGCAAAACATAGCCCTGGGGAGGGAACACAGGGGCCTGGCGTGGCCGCTGCAGGTCTCACGCTCCCCCACTCACCACGTGGGCAGTGGGAGCCAGAGCAGCCTGCTCCACCCTCCCAGCCCCACTTCTGCTCCACCCCCGTGTCCCAAGGAGCAGGCTCTGTGAGACCCAGCCCCGCAGGGTGTGAAAGGACGTGATGACTTGTCCTCTGCTCCCTGAGGGGGCTCAGTGGCCAGCTGCACTTGGCTGGGAAGCTGACAAGCCCCAGGACCCGGCCGACAGCTGGGGGAGAGGGGGAGGCTCCTCTTAGCACCCACCAAGACCCTGTGGAAGGGCCCAGGGGAGCACAATGCGCAGGAGGGGAAGCTAGAGGGCAGGCAGGGCCCCTGCCCTAGATGAAGGGACTTGGGGGCAGAGGGACGGAGCCTGCTCCTCAGAGGGGGAGGAGAGTTTCTGCCAGGGGCTCCTTTTCCCCTGCTCGCTCCCCACGGCCAGGCACCTGGAGGTGGGGCAGGAGCTGCTGGCTCCTCACAGGCTCAGCCCCTGCAGGGCCTGGGGCAGCTGTTGCTGGGTGGCATGAAGCTGGTGTATAAGCTCGGTTGTCACGTCGTTCTGCTGCAAGAGAACAAGACCCTGTCAGAGACTCCGTCGCCCCCAGGCCTGTGGGGCATCGGGCCCTACAGCATAGCCACCCGGATTCACCCTCCCCACTCCCCGCTTGGGGGCTCCCGTGTCAGCCCCTCCCTGTAGGATGAGCTCCCCC